TAAAGGCCTTAAAGAAAAATAAGACAGGGTGCTGCAATATTAAAAGATAGGGACAAAGACTTGTAGGGTTACTTTTGGTAGAGTAATTAGGAAAGACGTCTCTGAGAAAGTGATCTTGGGCAGAGATCTGAATGGCAAGAAGCCGGCCAGCAAAAGGAAAAGGGGAATCATGTATAAAGGTCCTGAGGAAGGAATAGGGTTGGTGTGTTGGGGGAAGAGGAAGGCAGTGTGGCTAGAATTCAGTGAATGGGGGTGGGAGGGTGGGAGAAGCCAGCAGGAGTGAGATCATGTAGGGAATTTTAAAGTATAGAAAAGAATCTGGACTTGAAGTGTAGTGAGAGTTTTAAGTACAAGACCATATGGCTTGACTAACATATCTAAAAGTTCTCTCCTGCCATTGCATGAAAACCAGACTGTAGAGAGGCAAAGACTTGATACTTTTGTGCACATATATTTCCAGGATCTCAATTTTAAGCCATATTTCTGAAAGGACTCCTGAGATAACATAGTTGTATAACGAGAGAGAAGCCTCCACTTCTCCCCATCCTCTAGCCTCTTCCATTCATGACTGCACATGTCAATCCAGAAACTGACTAGAAATGGGAAACTAAATGTAAAAACTAAGGGTGAGTCCCTAAGCATAAAAGAACTAAATTTTCTTTTAATAGAGCTCTACAAAGTGAATGGAGCCAGATGAATGGGTCGAAATTTCTTCAGAAAATTAGTCTCTGCTTACCCTCTGCAGTTGTTGAAGGAGCTATCCAGGGTGCTGGACTGTCTCACCCTGATGCTTTCTAAGGTCCAGTGGATCAGACTGTCATTTATCCTTGTTGGACTTAAGGCCCTCACTACACTGAACCATAACCAGACCCCACTCTGAAACCATATTCTCCTGGACTTCGCTAAACTTTAAGCCAACACCTGTCTTGGCCATGTCTGTCTGATATAATGTTAAGCATCTTCTATAAATGCCTTAGAGAGAGATTATATGAAGTGGCAGCACAGTGAAGAATATATATATGGGCTTGAGTCTCCACTGTGCCTTGTGACCATTTGAAATAATATATAAGAGAAGCAGTGAGCTCAGTGGAGTCCTTTTTCTTAGAACAATACTCAAAGGTTATACCTGGCCGCTGAACCAAACATGCTTATATAACTCATCCAAGAGTCTCTGCCCACAACACATCTTAAGAAACACAGCTTCTCCACCTAAAATGATTAATAAATTTATAGACTATCCAATTTCACCCCTCTCCCTTAAGTAGTATCCTTGACATTGCTTTAAAAAAATAAAATTTAAAAACCATGTTCAACTAGAGGCCATTACTCAATTTCTTGAGTAATCACGTTTGTACACCAAGTAATGAAAAAAAAAATTTATATGATTTCAAGTCAAACACTTTATCTCTTCAGCTGAAACACTTAGAGCACTAGAGTAATCTGATGGATACTCACTTCTAGCTCTTTTCTTAAGTAACAAGAAAAATAGGGAGAGCTACGGCATCTTCAAAACTTTCTACCTGCATGCCAGACCCTTCAATGTCCTTAAATAAGCTTGAGGGGCAGTGTAATTTATAAAGAGCCAAAGAAGGTCAGTGAAACTTTTTAGTTGCAAGTTTTCAAGGCTATGATGAAAAAATGGGACTAGAAACCATCAGATTTGCTCTGATGTTTCCCTATTATATGCATGAACACATCAAACACATGGAAGTGGAAATGTCATTAAAGGAAACAAGAAATAAATTACTTTGCCTTTATACAGTCTAAGAATAAATACTTGGCCCAAAAATGTCTTTGCTTCATCTCATGTAATTTTTGTTAATTTTTATTCACAGAACTCCCCAAACTCTACATTACCTCCTGGACTTGGCTCATATGCTCATTCCTGTGGCGGAACACTCATCCTCTCCATCATTCTCCCGCTTGGCTCATCCTCTAGGCCTCCTTTTCAATCAGGGAACCTTCTCAGGGCCCGGCTCCACCTCCTCAAGGGCTGAGTGAAGTTTGGACTCTGGTGAGACCTTGCACCCACCTCATCCTGGCACTCGTCACACTGTAATTTAAATGCCAGTTTCTTTGTACATCTCTCCCACCATCGTGTAAGTTCTAGGAGGGGAAGGACCATGTCTGTCCTATATTTTTATCTCCAAGGCCTTGCACGGTGCTTTGCTTAATAGAAGCAACTGATGAACAAATAAATGAAGGACTGAACTTAGTCCCTCCCTCTCTCTAAAAGTTACAAACTCTGCCTTGTTTCTAGGCTTCTTTCAGAACTTTGGACTCAATATTCATCTCATTTAAAAAACTTTATATAAGTTATTTCCTACCATGATAAATAAGAAGTAGAACTTCCCTTTTTATGCAATTTATATAGTACAATTTTATACAGCACAATTTATAGTACGGTGAAATCCTACTCTTTATTCTGTATATACAAGATAAGGATAAAATATATATTTTATCTATCAAAGAGTAAGCAGATATTTGTTTAATATTTACATTTGAGTTAATGCCATACCAATAAAATTGTTATCTTCATAAGCTCATATTTCCTTCATTGATTTTTTAATGTTATTTTTTCTGTATGTTCTGTTCTGATATCTAAATTCTTAGAGACAATATTAAATTTGATATGAAGTTATGTAGAATAATTGCTGAATAAATATGACAAAAATAATGTATGAGAATATTGTTATTGTTACTTAAAGGAGGGTCATTTCTAGTTTCAATCTGGGTAATTTTACATACATAACTGACAATATTTTCTTTTCTTATATTCATGTATTGTTTCCTTATCTTTATGGTACACTTGCACTTTATCTACCCTGAGTTTCTCTTAAATTACATCACGAGAACAAGTAAATTTCCCAAATAAGTTCTACATTTTGTGGGATTAAAGATTGGGTCTTACACATATTTTTATTTCACTGATAACATCTAGCACAGATGCAGAGTCGACTTTTAATAAACATGAATAATTGACATTAGATTTAGAAACAATCTACCCCATTTCCATACACTAAATCAAGGGTCAGCAAATATCGCCCACAGGCCAGTTTTGAACAGTTACCTGTTTCTATATATAAAGTTTTATTGTCACACACCATTTACTTGCATACTGTCCATGGCTCCTTGCAGCCCACAGGGCCCGGGCTGAGTAGCTGCAACAGAGTCTGTATGGCTTACAAAGCCTGAATCAGTTACCTTCCAGGCCTTTACAGAAAAGCATTGCTGACTGATGCTCTATATCATTTTCCCGATGAGGGAACTCAGCCTCAGATAAATGACTTATCCAATTTTATAGTTGAACCTATCCACTAACCCTATTTCTGTCAAATAATTTTTCACTACAAGATTAAATGCTTGGACAAAGTAATGGTATTTTAGATTACATAAAATTAAATAAACAGTAAAACTACAAATAAACATGACTGGCAAAAGACCTCAAAGGGCTTAGACTAACCTAAACCAAAATATAAATATAATTTCTCTAAATTAAGATAGTACCAGCTAAAATATGTTGCTATACACACACACACATATATTATTATATACATAAATATGTTCATGTATATAAATTATACAGGCATATATGTGTATATATATGTATGTATATTTGTTTAGATATATATAAACAAAAATTTATTATCAGAGAATATCAGTAATTTTATTAAAATTCAACAAAAAAGTTCAAGTCTTACAGTATTCTCTAAAAAATATTGACAGTAATAATTGTCAAAAAATGCTTTCAGCCCTGGTCAGTTTGGCTCAGCGGTTGAGCGTCGGCCTGTGGACCAGAGAGTCTGGCTTCGGTTCCTGCTAGGGGCACGTACCACACACACACATAAAAAAATGCTTTTAAAAAGGACGAAGTTGACCTCACATACTATCCTATCAGATATGAATAGCTTTTTTCTAAAGTCCATGTTACTGGCAATGGAAGGAAAAATAAATAGTGTGTATCATTTCCCAGCTTTCGTCCCATAACAGGGCGGTGGAGAGCCACAGCAGAAAGTCCGTGAGAATCATACAGAAACTCCATCAGAAACAGCCTTGGCATTTATATACTAAACTTTCCTTACACTGGAAGGGAAAGTAAAAAGAACAGAGAAAATGCTCCACTGTTTAGACAAAAAACGATTCAGTTAGCCTAACTGCTATCAGATCTCTTCCTGTCAGACACAGAATCTGTGCATAAATACTCTATGTAGTAAAAGTGATTGCTGTTTCCCCCAAGGTATCTTCTAAATGCTACAATATAGACAGTCCTGGAGTAGAAATAAAATGCACCTGGCAGTATATCAGAGAAGCTGTATTTGGTAAACTCTACACAAGAAAAGGATCAAGGCGCACAGGCAAATGAAATGTTATAGGTAGATACTTAATAACTGGTGCAGGACAGAAAGGTACTTGACCCTATGACAAGTCACCAGTTATTGAGTCTTCTTATTTTAGCAAAAGGTCCTGTCATTAATTGAGATAACAAAGATGGAAGAAGACTTTTACAGGATTTATACTAACCTAAACCGAAATATAAATATAATTTTTCTAAATTAAGATAGTATTAGCTAAATAATATGTTGTTATATTAGAATTGGTCTGGAGCAAAGATCAGGACATACTACTCATCTGGACAAAGCCAGGCTGGAGAGGTAATTAGGTACCGCCAATTAATAGTGCAGTATGTCATATAAGCCTAGTTGCCAGCAACACAGACACCCACCAGCCATCCCCCAGTGAGGGCACAGACATCTCTGAGACACAGTTATTAAAATCCTCTGCCTGTACAGTTGGTCAACACTGTGTGGACTTGCCAAACGGAGGAAGCATAATAACTCCACCACAGTTGCCCTGAGCTCCTATCTCTTCCCCGTGTTTCTACCAAAGACTCTAGTGGATCTACTGGGTTGTAGGGTTTTGTCCAAGTGTCTGATATGCCTTTCTTCCTCTGTTGCTTCCCGTCTTAGGATCAAACATGGGATATGTTATTTTCAACACACTATTACCTTGAATACTTCTCTTGAAGAAGGCCTTACAGCCCTCACAGGACCAGACCCCATAATGGTAACCTGAGGCATAGTCATTGCACACGGCACAGTAGCGTGTCTCCTTGGCCGACTCCACGGCTATGCTGCCCTTGTCCCCGGTGCTGGCCAATCTCTCTCTGCCACCCTGGCGCCGAGTATCTGAATTTGGCCTGTAAAAATAAGAAAGAGAGGGGGAGAGAGAGAGAGAAACAGTGAATCCATTAACATGAGAAAAGCAAAACATGTAATCTCTCCTCTGAAGTATGAGAGGCTGGGGCGAGGCAGCAGACCCACTTTATTCTGACATTTTGAAATAATGAATCATAATGTAAGCTAATCTTTCTTCTCTCTTTCCGCCTGCTGCAGCAAAAGGTGTTTGCCTATTATATTAACCTTGAGGGGTAATTGTCTATTGCAAACTTGTTTAAAAACTGAGCTGCCTACACCGAAATATATTACCCAGAAAATGACAAAATGAAATTAGCTGGTTTCTAATAGACTTCTTCTTTTTTTCCCCCCTTCAGGGATTCACAATTAACTCAGCACCATTAGAGACCAATGTTCATTCCCATTCTAGACCACACGAAGGGTCTTTAGGAAACAGAGACAAAGCATCACCCAGCTAGGGCATTTGCAACTCCGATGAACTGATGCAAACTATAGAACAAGTGTAAAAGATAAATCCTATTTCCATGTCATTGTCATCAGGTAGCCCTAGATATTTACAACTTGGCTCTGCCTGAGGATGCTAGTGAATACTCAATGCTCCTCTGTAAGAACATACAGAATGAAAAGAGCAGAAGTGGATGATCACGTCAACCTTGAAAGGTGTCATGAAGGAAACACAGAAAGCAAAGTGAGACCAGCAGTCTGAAAGTGAGAACCGAGGAAATCGAGGAGTAAACAGTTTAAGGAAGTAGAGAGTGATCAGCAGTGGCAAACAGGACATAAAGGTTCGATAAAACAAGGGCTGATAAAGGGAAGTTGGATTTGACAAAGAGGATGCTTAGAGAGGAGTTGGAGTTGAGAGAGAGGGCACAAGCAAAAACCCTGTGGGTAGAAAAGGGGATGGAATGTAAGAAAAGGAAAACTAGTAAAGGCCATTCCTTTGGGAACTTGGATGACAACTGCAAGCAGAAGATTAGATGGTCACTAAATAATATAAAGACAGCCCAGCCAGTGTGGCTCAGCAGTTGAGCATCGACCCACACACCAAGAGGTTGATGGTTCAATTCCTTGTCAGGGCACATGCGCAGGTTGTGGCAAAATCTCCAATGGGGGGCATGTGAGAGGCAGCCAATCGATGTTCTCTGTCATCGATGTTTCTATCTCCCTCTCCCTTCCTCTCTCTCTAAAATCAATTTAAAAAAAAATTTTTTTTAATATAAAGACAAATAAGTAATTTTAGGATGGAAGAGACCTGAGAAGGTCTCTGTAGACCGAAGGAATGGGTCAGTAAAGAAATGGTTGAGGATGCACGGGGGTGGGGGGGTGATTAGAACAGTTGGGAATAAAAACACAGGTGGAAGGAAGAGCCTCGATGAAGACACCTTGAAGACTGGAAGATAAAGGTCAGAAAAGTAGTAGCAGAGACTAACTTTGCATCTCTAACTAGTAGAGAAGCAGAAATTATATCAATCCAGGATTTTCTATGTGCAACCAAATAAAGGTGGCATGAGAGAATTGAGGATATATGCCCAGAGCCCAGCACAGAACCTGGTACATAGTTGGCATTCAGTAGATATTTAAATGAATGAAGAGTGTTCCAAGTTGTATAGAGGGAAAAGAGAGTAAGAGAAATAGAAAGATGTTGAAAGAATAGATGGAGTAAAGGTTCTTATGAAATTTAAAAAGAAAAAAAAAAAAAAAACCCTAGGATGAGATTAAGATTAAGTGAATTAAAGATAAAGCTTACAGGGTCTCTTGGTTAAGAAAGTTGATGCTCCCTGCTTCCAATCCCCACCCAGACAGACAGACCACACTGACTTTCACTGGTCCTCCCCTTTATAAGCCCTGTCGTCCCTTTTAGTTCAAGTTTTACAACCCTTCCCTGCCCTTCTCACTCATTAATATCGTTGACTATTTTGTGCCGGTGGTTCTCAAATTACTTGCCATAAAATTCACAAAATACCGGCTTTTTGGGTTAAGTGTGTCTGACTTTGACATTTTTTCCATTTTAAATTACTTAGCTCTTAGGTTGGTAGCCTCAAACAGGAGTCCTTTATTTTTTAATATCCTTAGAGAGTATATTGATTTGCCATTTTCAAGTCTAGTTCATATTCTGTTGCCCATGTCTTTCCATTTCATCACGATTCTGTCCAACCTCAAATTGTTTTACTGTTTGTTTACTAATTTTGTATGTATGATTCAAGTCAGTAGGAAGCAACTGTGAATATTTAACTATAGAAGCTTAGTGTTTTGGGGGGTGGAGAGGGTGGTTAGCAAGCATGACATTGACAGATTCAGTGTTTTATAAATGTTATTAACTATTGTAGCCCCAGTATCCAGCTCAGTGCCCAGCAATACAGCAGATATTTTATACATGACTATTGGATGGATGGATGGATGGATGAATGAATAGTAAGTATATGCACAGGCAACATTTCCAAGACGACAGGAATCTCCCACCCACTCCTGCATGATAAAATACTACATTTTCTTAAATTGTGGTTAAAATAAACATAACATAAAATGTATTATCTTTACCATTTTTAAGTGTATAGTCAGTAACATTAAGTATATTCACATCAGAGTGCAATCAATCTCCAGAATTTTTCCATCTCACAAAATTGAAACTCTATACCTGTGAAACAACTCCTCATTCTCCTCATTTTCTCCTCCCCCAAGGTCCCTGGCAGCCCACTGGACTTTGTGTCTCTACGCAATTGACTGCTCTAGGTAGATCACATAGTATTTGTCTTCCTGTGACTGACTTATTTTACTTAGCATAATGTCCCCAAGGTTCATCCATGTTGTAATATGCATCAGCATTTCTTTTCTTTTTAAGGCTGAATAATATTCCAGTGTGTGCACCTACCACATGTGGCTCGTCCATTCATCCAGCTATGGATTCGGGTTGCTTCCATCCCTGGCTATAGTGATTAATGTTGTTATGAACATGGATGTTTAGCTATCTCTGAGTAGTGATTAATGTTGCTGTGAACATGGATGTTTAGCTATCTCTGAGGTCCAGCATTTATTTCCTGTGGATATATACCCAAAAGTGCAATTGCTAGATTATAAAGTAAGTTCTATTTTTAATATTTTGAGGAACTGCCATATTGTTTTCCACAATGGCTGCATTATTTTACTTCCCCATGCAGGGGCTGCATCCCTTTTTTTTTTTTTTTTTTTTTTTTTTACTTTTTTTTTTTTTTTTTAATAGTAGCCATCCAAATTGGTATGAGGTGATTACCGCAATTTAAGCTCACCTTTTGCATAAATTCCTCTCTTACCAGCCAGTCCTAATCCCCACGCACTCGAAATAATGCCTCCCTGTTCTGAATTCAATAGCAGGTTTTTCTTCAATTTCTGCAACTTACTACCCGACTCCTTTCGTTCTACATTCTCTTGGTGCCTTACCCATCTTTGGAACCCCTTGTGCTTACAGCATAGTGCCTCATCCGCAATAGGGTCTCGATAAATACTGACATCTAGTGAACTGATCAATGACTGAATCAACAGTGTGATAACTTCACAATGTAATGGAATAAGGGAATATTGTTTTTGAAAGTATTGGTGAAAGATGTAACAGAAAAGCCCATTTTCCCCAGATCTCGTAGACATGTTTGCTGTCAGCAAAATGCCTTTTGTCTACATTTTACCTTTGAGATGGCCCTGGAACATGAAAACTTCACTGCAGACATAGGACATAAAGTCAGAAGGCATCCGAAAAGAAAAGGGATAAATTACACAGGTCACATTACCTCTCCATGAAGCAACCTTTTTTATCCAACTTGGAAATTCATAGAGCTAACGTTGTCAGTTGTCACTTTAGCCCAGCCCTTCTCTATGAAGACTCCCAAAATGGGACGTCATGAAGATGTGTATCCTCCAGATCAAGCTAAAGGCAGATGAGATAATCTCATTGGTTGCAGAGCCCTATGGCACCTTACAATGTGTTCAGGTTGTCTTGTAATGTAATAGTCTGTAATGGAAAGAAACAGGGCGGGAGCTGTCCATGTCTGCACTCAGAGTAAGTCACAGGGCAGGGCAGGCACCAACCTGTCGTTAGACCAGTCCCCACAGATGGGCCTTTAAGGGGACTCATCTCTTCCCGCTGCCCTCTGCCTGGCCTTGCCTGCGTGTACCTGTCATAGAACATGGCATTTTTAGATTCACATCTCTTTGGTAAAAAGTACTCAGAGGCCCTTTGGTTTCTCCTCATTTTTATAGGACCAAATTAACTATTTCCCTTTTCATGTTCTAAAGGTCTTCAGGTCCCTCCTTCCCAATAAGAGGCTTCAGAAACCCTAACCATGCCTTTACCCTTTTGTTCTAGATGAAGATTTAACGAATTCTTTAGCCATATTGCTATAATATCTCTCTCTTTGCAAAATTTTTATCATTTCCTCACTGAATTGTTACCCACCCTTCATAGTTTTTCATCCCGGGCACTATCTCATAGGACTCACATAAGAAGTTGATTCGTTTACCAAGCTACGTATTAAGGGATTAGGTGTTCTTCAGCCTGTATGGATATATTTAAAGATTCTCTAAAAAAGAACTAGAGCAGAAACTTAAGCACGAAATGGAGAGATGTTTTGCATCAGTGGCTGGCGTAACTCAGGCACACAAGTGGCTAAAGAACCGAGTAACAGCAGGGGAAAAAAAATGACAGCAAGAGAGATCAGACAACAAAACACCACTGCCCCTATGGAAACTGGAAACTCAACCGGCTCAATTTGGTTTCATTTTCATTGCATCAATTGACTACTAAACATTTCCAAATGGATGCCCCACTGATATCATGTATTTAATATGATTAAGAGAGATGTCTGAAGGCCTTCAAAGTGAGTCCAGAGAGTGAACTCTCTTGGACCAAATAAAAGCAGACCAAAATAAAAAGTATTTGCCAGAAAGATTTTCATTAATCAAAGGGAAAGTTTGAAACTCAATGTAATCAAATACTGTTGTTTTTCCAACCCTAAATCATAGTACCAGCCATCCA